TCATAAAATCCGAAATACAAAAACTTACAAATGAGTGTCCGAACAACGAATTTGAATTACATGTATTTCAAATTCAAGTATTTCAAATACTTTATATTTGAATACACCTATCTAAACGCACCCTTACATCAATTTATGTTGAAAATAATATGTTTATAATTTTGAAAACAATAATAGGCTTTATTAGTGTTGGGACTATTGGAACTAGGGTGTACGTACGATAGACTGAGATCGGGCGACCAGGATTATGATAGAGTTGTGAACTATATTCACTTTCTGTAATGAATATTTATACCCTCTACAAAGCCTTGGGTTACATGAAGTTTCTTCGTATGATAAACTATCACCACTTTAGGTTCTAGGATGTAGAACACTAGAGCATACAAAGAAGCTTTTGGAAGAAAGAAAGAAGAAGAATAATATGTTTGATCGTATGTGGCATCATCCACCCCACACATGTATTTATAGGGACTGAATACATGTATTGTTTCATGAAAAAGTTACTTTAATTTACACAAAAAGAATCATTTATCCACACGAAAGGGTGTCCTTATCCATACAAAAATTGTCTTTATCCATAAGATCATCCCTATCCACAAGGTTGGTCTTATCCATGAAAAATGAAAATGCAATCGCCATTACCTCAAAGGGACATGTCCCTTCAAGAATTTAGAATATTTGATTCAGTTAGTCTAACCCAAACTGATTTGTTCTATCCAACTTAAACCGGTTTGACATGTTAGTTCGATTCAACCAAATTTCCAACAATTAGTACCATAGTTTATGATCGAATAGTGATATAAGGATCAGATAGTTTATTACAAATTAATGTTTCTAATGATTTCCCTCTAAACTACATACGGTCGACCTATCCCAACACACATCTCATAATAAATTATTCGCCCTGTCAAGATACGAATATAGATATTTAAATACCCACCGGACTTACCAATGTCATTCCTACTACTAATTTTTTTAGTGGATTCCTACTACTAATTTAGTCCAATACAAAACTTCATACAAGAATAGGAATGGATACTAATTACTAAGCCATATAGAACTTGGGAAGTCAAATCATACAAAAGAAACCAAATAATCAAAAGCTGAACAAGGGACGAATTTTTCTTTTTTTTTCCTTTGAATTGGGGACAAATAATTTTTTCGAAAGAAGCGCTAAATTATTGTTGTAATTCTAGAGGACCGGAGATTTTTGGATTTTGTAATTCAATGCCCATAAAACTAAAATTTTGCTTCAGTTTTATGCCGCAAAGCGCAAAATTTTTCTGGGAACGAGTTTGAAAGGGTATATATTCAGCGAATTTATATTTGGGGACAAGCTTAAGACAAGCGTCCCTTATTTAACTAAAGTTTTTTTTGATAATGGTTTAACTAAAGTTTTATTTTCCGAGACAACTAAAATAGGGTCATCTCTAATGCTGGTCCCTATAGCTCATTAATTTTGTAGTGTTGAAGAGGTAGTAGTGTTTTTCATGTAGTTTTTTTTAGGTACAGACCGAGAGCTATTATGGAGAGGAGGAGAGAGAGACGTGATGGAAGGGAGGAGAGAGAGGAAAAAATTGTAACCGCATTCCATTACAATTTCCCCCTAAAAATCAGCAATAATTTCAAAAAATTTAATTATTCCGTAATTTTCTAATTTGCCCTTTCTTTAATTATATTAAACATAAAAAATTAAAAATAAATGCTAGTTAGGATGGTGCTAACCCCCTATGGAGTTAGCACCGTATCTTCTCCCAAGTTTGACTAGTTTAATCCGTGTTATACATATTATAAAAAGTATAGAAATATATGCGCATATGGTAGCAATTTAAGATTTTAATTTGACAGGTACTGATTTAATAATTATATATTACCTGACCCTAAAAGTTGTGTATCAATCAATATTATGGTTGTCACGTTGATAGAATGTCGACAGTGAATACTACATGTATGACTGATATGATTGATTTCGGCCTATAAACAACATGACGTCGTTTAGTGAATTTTATTAATACAAAAATTGATTTATGATTTATTTCATGAATTTAGAAGGTAAATGTTGAATTGTTGATGTTATTTGTTTGATTTAAGTATAAAAGTTTGGTATTGACACTGAATATTGTATTTAAATAGGAATATTTTTTATTTGGTTTTAAATATTTTATTCAAATATGAATCTAGATTGTAAGTAATTTTTTTCAAATACGTTTTATATATGCATATATTCATTTGATGCTAATGATTTACATACTTTTACATTTAAATCGACACAAATTACTTGCACTTTTTGTTGTTTCTTTCTTCTTGGTTGTGTGGGTTTGCTTTATGATATAATTTTTTTTGGTGGGGGGGGGGGGGGGGGGGGTTTATTGAGTTTTAGTAAGTATATATAAACTAGTATGACACTATAGTAATAGACAAAGAACTTGGATTTTTTATATAGCATTCGCCAAGTCGGGTAGTTCATGTTCTTCTATAGTGTTTGTCAACGTGATGAAATTATGTTCTTCTACAAAGTTCATCAATAAGAAAAAAAATTAACATTTTTGTATGGTGTTCGCCAACACTCAATTTCTTAACCTCGAGGTTAACACTTGCTACTAATCTCAACTAGTATGACACTATAGTAATAGACAAAGAACTTGGATTTTTTATATAGCATTCACCAACTCGGGTAGTTCATGTTCTTCTATAGTGTTTGTCAACGCAATTAAATTATGTTCTTCTACAAAGTTCATCAATGAGAAAAAAAATTTAACATTTTTGTATGGTGTTCGCCAGCACTCAATTTCTTAACCTCAAGGTTAACACTTGCTACTAATCTCAACACACTACCAATAGATGTCATCTTCGTCATATGTGAGATGTAACAATATCTCGTCAAATGAATGCCCTTTCTTGACTAAAATCTTTCACAATTAGTCTCGCTTTGAAACGTGACTGACAATTTAGTGATCATCATACTTGAACTTGAATACCCACTTGTTCTTCAAAGCTCTCTTACCTTTCGGCAACTTCACCAACTCAAATGCTTTGTTCTCATGCAAGGACTTCATCTCACCATGCATGAACTATATCCTCTTCTGCTTATGATCGTGAATATCTTGTACAAAGCTATCAAGTTCTCCCTAGTTAGTATAATAAAATCATTCAAATAATAACTAGTAGATCATTGCAAAATTCTACTAGAGTACTTAGTCATCTGAATTAGAGAATCCTCTAATCCTATGGAAGTTAAGGTGAAACTTGCTAATAAAGATGGTCAACTAGGACTCTAGGAGGAAGGAGCCACATAGGGCTCTTGCTACAAAAGTGTGAATTTTTTCCACAACAAAAGCGTGTACGAAAATATGTATGAATACATTTTTGAGAGAATTTGGATTTAGTGAAGCAATGGGGCGGGCGGGTATTTCAATTCTCATGCTCGTTCCACGCTATTACGGGACGGGGCGGGTAAAACCCGCACGGGTACGGGGTGGGTCGACCCACTCTTACATATTATTTGGAAAAAATACATGCAAATTTTACTTTTTACGATCGAAACGAAGGGAAAACACTTTATGAATGAAAAATAGTGATAATAGAATGGGTAATTGAGTCTGACAAGTTGAAAGATCGACTCTAATTAGTTGAAGAAAAGTCAAAATAAAAGAAATATGTATAGATACTATAAGAAATTGAGATAAAATGGGTCTAGGACGGGGCAAGGCGGATCGGAAGTAGATAACCATGCCCCTCCCCACATTAATGCGGATCGTATAGTACCCCGCCCCATCACAGGTCAAATCGATTAATACCCACGGGGCGGGTTGAAATCGCCTATCAGATTCCAGCAAGAGTCGATGTGATTGTTATGTGGCAGTGAAAATGAGTTTGAGTTTTGTTGATTAGCAAGGTTGTCAAACCGGTTTAAGTCATTGAGCCGGTCAAGCAAGGGGTTTGAGGTTTAATAGTCTGATCGGGGTCCGGCCGGTTTGAGCCATTTTAGGCGTTTTCTAAATATATATGCAAATAAGTTAGTAATTAAAGATTTAAAGACTGAAATAAAATATATCTTATATATATCTATTAAAAGCTTATTTTTCACAAAATAAATATACCTAACCCATGACCCACCTACCATCTCCTTTCCTTCGTTCCTCTTCCTCTATTCTTCTCCCTCTTTAGGGGTCAGACCGGGGGGCTTTCTGGAGACCGTTTTGAAACTCGACTCGGGTCGAACCGGGGGGTTCAATAAGGTTTAACAACCTTTTTTTTTTATATCCAAGATAAGTCCCCAAGGCATGGCCGGACAACACAGTTAAAAGAGAGACACTAACAAAAAACGGTAGTCCGAAGGTAGCCGGACTCCCGATAAAAGAGTTTGTTTTGCTACAAGGTGGGCAGCTCCGTTGAAACAACCTTGTTAATTAGCAAATGAATGACAAAGATGACCATGTAGTTGGGTGGGAGAAAATTGTGGGCGCTCACCTGGCAGAAAGAGCTATCAATTGAATTTAAGAAAACAATTAGTGTGGAAGACGAAAGTTGGATGGTGAAGGATGATTAATTCCCCAACCATTTCAATTTAATTGTTGGTCTCCTAAAATTTGCACCATCACAGGAGAACGAATTCTCCATCATTTACATTGGGACTTCATTTTGAATTGCAAATAGAGATGTTTTTTTGAGTGAAAAACTGAAAATAGCAAAATTGTGATGTTTTTTTCTTCTTCTTCGTTTGTATCTTTAAGTCTCTCTATAATCTATGGTTGCTACTTGTTATGGTGAAGGATTACTTGAGTGAAAATTTTCCTTAAAACCAAAGTAATCTCATTATGATTCTAAAATGGATTTATATGATTGCTCGTCCATACTAAAAAACATATACAACACTTGATTTATTACTGTAATATATTTACTTTATTCTCGACGACGCCAAAAAATAATATAAAAAGGATAGTCACCCTAATAAATTCCTACAAAAACTTTCTAATGCCAAATAGCTCATAAGTGTATGTCAATAGATGGCCACCCTCATTCGTCAACGGATTTTTTCTCAAAGTACACACGAGTTTATCTTTTTATCTCTTTTCAATCTCTTTACAACATGAGTTTATCTGAACATTTAACCCATCATTGTTATTATCATTCATGAATCGTTTCTTCAATAACAACATCCCTCTTTTCCCTTTTTTCTGTATACCTATGTTCAAAAATGGATGGAACTGAGAGGATTAATGTGGTTGCTTGCCCATGAGTTATACACTTGCTCATTTACAGATAACAATAACAAGGGGTGAAAGAAAGAAAGAAACACCAGAGAGCAACAAATTTTTAACTTCTTCTAGTGACGCCCTGATGATCCTCCCCATTTCTTAACCCGACCCTCAGCTAATGCAGCCTGGGAAGAAGAAAAAAAGGCCAATAAACATCAAATCAAAAAGCAAGTTGATGGACTTCAAATCCGAATTGCCCTCAACAAAAAACCAAAAAGAAAACCCCACCAGATTCCAATTTACAATGATAAATCAATCGATTGAATTAAACTCACCTCTGATTCCCAATCAGTTATTGCAGTGATCACCACCAGAATTATGGTCTGCAAAACTATTCCTGCAATCATTCCTGTCCATATCCCCTGCACGCAGATAAGAAAACGACTCTTGAATGTTGATTGTGTGTAATAAGATTGTACCGTGTTAGCACGAGGTAACATTGTTTTGGAAACGCAATCTGACGCGATATCAACTTACGCTATCACTCTCGACATATCAAGTCAGATTACATATCTGTCTCTCTGAAAGGAGGAGAAAATCTCTTTACCTCAACTCCAAAACCAAACGTGAAACCCAGAAGAATCCCAGCAGGCAACCCAACTATGTAATAACATCCAATATTGATGTAAGCCACCAGAGATTGCCATCCAGCTCCAATAGCGACACCTACGCGACAAAAGAAAGAGAGACAATCAGTCAAATGCAAGATCCAACAGTGGGACCCACCCAAGGATCCCCCTCCATACATGTCAAGACAAAAGTTTTGGCATCTTTCGGTAGGAATAATCGAATCTGAAGTCGGTACAAGCTACAAAACAAAAGAATTGTTGTTGTTTGCAACTTTGCATGCAAAAGTATATTAGTCCTACTACTACCAAAAAAAATTGGCAAAATACACTTGGATAGCCATAAATTTACACTTTGTGACAATAATAACCAAATTTTGAAAAATACACAAATATAGCCACACTTTCGAAACTTGTTTGACAAATTTAGCCATTTTCGTTAAAAACTTTAACACCGTTAGTTACTCCGTTAGTAATATAGACTTTACGCTGATGTGGATGCCACCTGGATAACCCGTCATCTCCAACTAGACATGTAGTGCTCACTTAGATACCACGTCATATTTTAAATTAAAAAAATTATTTAAAAAAAATAACTGAGAAAAACAAAAACACTAATTTCAACTTTCTCAAAAGCCTCTGTGTCCTTTCTCAAACACACAGAACCCTTCCATCTCTCTGTGTTCGTCGATGGTGCAATTAGGAGAAGAAGAACATGAGAGCTTTTGAATTCATCAATGGAGATGAACTCCACAAATCCCGTCAAGCTTATTCCCCTCAAACACCTTCTTCAACAACCCTTCCCATCCATGAAATTGACCATTAATCCCAGCTGTTCGATCCTCACCCCTTCCACCAAACTGACGGTCGTCGCTCTTCCTGAATCCCCGACCTATCCTTCTCGATCGTCGAAGCTGTCGCCGCTCTCCACAACCTCATTCTCTCCCGTCTCTTCCTCCTCTCCAACTCCCCATCCCCACCGCTGATACGGCTGCAACATCATCACCTCCGAAGATCAATTCAGCCCACTTCAAACAACATAGAAACCCTTCAGTTTCGAATCCAACATTCAATCAGGCAAGAAAGCAAAACTTGAAAAAGTCCCAATTTTGATGCAGATCTGATACAGGGTAGCGGCGGCCCAGAGGACTAGGACGGTCTCAATCTCTCCGGCAAGCTCTGGATTCCTCAGTGAAGGAGATTGGAAGAGGCGGTGGGAGATCTGGAGACGATAGGCAGATACAGACCCCACACCTCTATGACCACGACCGGATATGAAAATAGATGTCGGAGTCAGCCGAGCCTTGGCGGTGGTTGGGTTTCGATCAACAAGGATCCCTCGTGCTTGATGTTGATGATGGCGTTGAAAAGGTGTTTTTCCTATGATTTTCACGCCAACGTCTCGACGATCGACGCTGCCGAGTCACTCTTGTTCTCTCCGATCTGTTTCACTCAGATCTGAATGACGAACAGAGGGAGAAGGGTGGATGAAGCGGCAACGCCGATACCAACAAGTCGAGGAAACGAACAAGATGAATACGCTAGAAGAGGAAGAAGAAAAGGAGGAGCACCAAACGTCGGAGAGAGAGATGGGTCGGTGGAGGGGTTCGTCGAGAAGGAGATGCGTTGAGGGGGAGATGCAACTTTTGCTTTTTTTTGTTTTATTTATTTACTTTATTTTTTTGGAGTATTTGAGTATTTCCACCTGGCATGACTTTCGAAGAAAATCACCATGTCAACGTTAGTCCAGTCAGCATCAATGATAATTCTGTTAAACTTTTGACGAAATGGCTATTTTAGTGTATTTTTTAAAATTTGGCTATTATTGTCATAAAGTCGAAAATTTTGGCTATACAGGTGTATTAAGCCAAAAAAATTTACCAGATAAAACAGGCTGAAGGCTGTTGAGCAGCACAGTGAACGCCAGCAGCCCAGCAAGCCTCCTCGTCTCCTGAGCAACCGCCGCGCTGCTGGTGAACAGCTCCGGGAACGAACCTCTCGTCGCGAATACCACGATCATACATACCACCCCTATCGCGACCGACGTAGCTGATACCACCACGACCGACACTTTCGCTGCTCGAGCGTTTCCTGCTCCCAGCTCGTTCGACACCCTGACGCTGTCAAATGGGAAACGACATTTGTTACATTTTTAGGTTCGATATCGATGCGTGACAATTTGTTAGTGAAAAACTGTGTACCTAATCGCGGCATTGAATCCGATCGCAATCATGGCGTCCCATCCGTTCAGGTTCATACTGAAAGGAAAAACCAATATCAATCAAAGTGAGATAGACATTAAGACACTGGATTTTCAGGATTGTGAACAGGATTGATGAAAAAAGGAAGTATACCAAATTGAGATGGCATCCACAGGGATCAGAGGGTTCGGCAATCTGCCCGTTATAACAACCAAGACCATCAAGTACCAAAACTCCAAGCTACAACCACAAACAGAACAAATGAAGGAAAAAAAAAAAAGGTTCTTCCCCTGTTTCTCACATTAGCTCAAAATTGAAACTGTGAAAAAAATCTTTACCATAGCATGACCGCAGAGGCTAGAGAGAGCTTGACGAAACCCCAGAGGTCCGAAAACGCGAGCCACGAGAAGCCATTCCAGGCTCCGTCGGACCCAGTGATGAAAATGTAGCCCAATTGTGCTACGACTATGATGCACCAGGAAGCATTGAGCACCAGCGCTGCTCCGACTAGTCCCCAGCCGAGCTTCAGAATCAGCAGCCAGCTGAAGAACGTGTGCAGGACCAGAACTACCGCGGAGATCCAGGCCATCACCATCACTTTGCTCTGCGCCTGCAGGAACTTCTGGATCGGGAAGTTCAATGCGTAGGCGAATAACTGCGGCAGCATCCATATAGCGAATTCCCCTGCCAATCCCCCAAACAAAAGAGAAGGAAAGAAATAAATTCACCACTATTTTTCTGTGTCACTAAAAGGGTTGGCAGCCTTCATTTGGCCATGCCTTTACAGTTCGTATTCGTACTGAAAATCAGAATCAAAACGTCGCGGATCAATTCGCACTGCTCGATTCAATTCATGATTCGATGTTTTGTACTCTGAGATCGAAATTGAACTGACCTGCGGCATTGGATATCTCAGAGGTCTCTCCGAAGAAATTAAGGATTGGAGGAGACCAAATGTAAACAGGAACCAGCAAACAAGCGGTGGTCAAAAGAATAACCCATGATCGCTGCATGTAAATCCCCAGCATCCTGATCTGCCCTGCTCCGTAGGCTTGCCCACATAGCGTCTCCAATGCGCTCCCCATTCCCAGCTTCACAGAAAAGCACAAAAATCAAAAATTGAATACGTGACCAAGAAATCAATCCCTTCCCAAAAAAAACAGAGTCGGTGACGTAAAGTTCGAATCTTGAAATCAACATTACTCGAAGTGTAAGAAAAACAGAGGAGAAACAGAGGGGGTGTGGCTGACCATGACGCCAAAGGCGAGCCCAGCGACGACGGAATTCTCGACGGAGACGGCGGCGAGCTCGAGCTCGCCGACGAAGCCGGTGAACGTCTGCGTGAGGGCGCCGAGGGAGTACTGAGAAATGGAGGTGAAGATGGCCGGGCCGGCGATCTTCCACAGCGTACGAGACTCGTTGCCGAAGTCCCCGAGAACGGAAGAATCGAATTTCTTGTTGTCGTCATCATTTCCTTCTTTCCGGCCGTGATCTGTACCGCGGGATTGGAGCAGCGGCGCCTCCATTACGGACAAATAAAGAAAAGAAGAAACCTTTTTCTGGTTTATCTCTCAAGAGTCGTCAGCGGCGGCGGCGGTGATTATGGGCAGGAAGAAGAAGAAGAAGAAGAAGAGAGTTCGTTTCGTATTTGAACTCTTGAAGAGCTTGGAAACAGACACAAAATGACATCCAGTTTCCGGTTGTCACTTTCTTTCCTTTGGCGGAAAGCAATTTGACGTTTAAGGAAGAAAACGAAATGATTAGAAGGGGAAAAATTTTTACTGTGATTTTTCTTCTGTTTTTTACAGTAGCGCCGGGGTTAGGTGGTTGGAGGGTGGCTAACAGAGTGAAAAAAAGTGAAAGCTTTGTGGGATCCGATTAGCCTGGGGGCAGTGGTGCTTTCTGTTTCAGGTTTTGTACACTTATTTGGGAAACCAAATTCAATGCGATGGAAAGCTATTTGTAGCTGCTACTTCTTCTCAGCTCCTTGAAATAAAATCAAATAAAATTATAACAACTCGATTATGGTCGTCACAACAATATCAGTCTGACATATGTATTGATCGAGGTTATCGGATCAGTTTAAGTCATTAAGTCGGTAAAAAAAATGATTTGAGATTTAATGGTTTGATTGAGGTTCAATTTGTTTGAGCCGTTTTATACAATTTCTAAATATATATACAAATAAGGTAGTAATTTAAAATTTTAATGAAAGAAATGACTTTTACCTTACATGTATCTATGAGAAACTCACTTTTCGTAAAATAAATCCTACCTAACCGGCGTATGACGCATCCATAATCTTCCTCCGCTCCTCTCCGTCTCTGTCCCTCAATCTTTCTAGTGGTCATATCAATGACTTTCTGGAGACTGTTTTGGAGTCTGGCTTTGATCGGATCTGGTCCAACCGACCGACTGGTAGAGGTTTAACCAGTGACGAAGCAAAAATTTGAATGAGGAGGGGTTGAAAATCTATGCTCAAAGGATTTGAACCGACGAGAGAGGCTAAACCCTTACTACAACGTGGCTCTGCCACTAGGTTTAACAACCTTGATATTGATAGCATTTTAACAAACTTAACAGTGATTGCTATAAAAAAATGTAGAGGCATTTAATATGATGGGAAATTTCACGAATTTTGTTCATTTCTCTGTCACTTGGGTCCCTTATCAGCTAATCTTCCCCAAATATGTGGTCTCGCAATTTTTGGCTAGAGTAAATATTCTGGGTCCAATGCAACATGGTGCCCTGCAAGTGCAACACTCCAAAATGTAGAATATGAATATGTGATGTGGAACACTGAGGGCATACTTGGAAGATTTGGCCGCAATGTAACGGTTTGATCCATATCGGATCACATCGTACCAAAACAATTATTTGATCGAATCCTAACGGTGTAATTGCATTCTAAGCACAGAAAGAATATATTTTAACCTAGATTAGTGGTGTCTAGGAATAGCAATGATTTTATTTTTGTCAATGAAATGATTGTTAGCATAAATGATACTTGTTAAAGTACTAGTTGTGTGCTCATTTTTTCACTACAGTATTGTGCTGCTGCATGTTTTGTTTTTTTTTAATATTTATTATGACCTTTTATAATCTATGTTTCATACGTCCATATTTAGTGTGAGTTTGGTCAGGATCAACAATATTGTTAAACAATGAGAGTCGGAATTTCATAATAAGTTGGAAGGTCATATTCGCGATTATATGATATGCGACTGGCCAACACTTTTCCACTTCATAAGTTGTACATGGTCTATCATTAATTTTCACTTTTGCGCATATATAGATATTTAAGTTAAATATCATGAGCGTCTAAAATTTTCTTTGACAGTTGACACTGTAACAAACACTTCAAGCAAAGAACTCAAATTAATAATTATCATATGTACTCAAACTAAACTCATTTCTTGGTTGGATGAATGGATGACTAAAGAAACAAAAGGTCACATTCTTGGTGATTTAGTATATTAAAAAGGAGTTATTCCTAGATTTCTCTTTTTTTTTATATTTGAAATGAACATGAGATGAAATCCCATACACATATCCAGTTCCACACCAAGCAGCTCCGGGACGAGATACTCAAAGCTCTTGAGCAGGAGAAAAACATCTTCGGGACTGGGGGCACCCGAGAGGAGCGCCTGATTGGCTGGCAACCACCGGCGCAAGACTGGGTTTCTGTCAATACCGACGGCTCAGTGATCCATTCTCCTAAGAGCACAACCTGCGGCGGCGTCATGCGGGGGGAGTGATGGCCGCTTCATTAAAGCTTTCACAGCGAACCTTGGAGGGGGTTCGATCACTCGAGCGGAGCTGGCTGGTATTGTGTATGGGTTGGATCTTGCTTGGGAGCAAGGGGCCAGGAAAGTTCTACAAACAGACTCAGCAACTGCAAAAGCACTGATTGATAGCGCGACAGAGCAACATATGCATTATATTCAGGTTGCAGAAATCAGAAGGAGACTTGACCGAGACTGGACGGTTAGGATAGATCATGTTTTCCGCGAAGCCAATTTTGCTGCGGACCACCTCGCTTCTATAGGGCATTCGCACCCAGTAGGGGTGCATGTGATGGATAGACCGACCACCTCTTTGCTGTACTGGTTGTTTTTTGATCGGGTGGGGAGTGAAACCCCCCGGTTTGTTCGTCAGTAATAAAGGTTAGGGCGCCCTTTGCGCCCTGTTTCTACCAAAAAAAAAATGAACATGAGATGAAAAACTAAATAAAAGTTTTGATTAAAATAATTAATAAATCCCTTTGTTCGTGATTTTTCCTTTGTGTAACTTATGTAGAAGTTAGAGTTAACATTTTTAAAATTGAGGTAGAGGTCAATAGATAAAAAGAATACAATGGTAAGAATTTAGGTGTTAAACCCATTTGATGACATGATTATTGGTCTTGCTATGCTTAATAACATCAAATAGAATGTATCCTATTGGCTAAATACTTTTAATGATAATAATTTGTGCAACATAGGTTGTAGGTTTAAATCTTAATTATGATGATTGCACATGTTTATTTAGTTTTAACTTAGTGGAACTTAGAAATTATAAAATAGTTCAAATAATAAAATGACATGAAAATTTATGGAGTTGACTGAATCTTATTTGGTAAATTGTTGCTAAAAAATAACCATAATATAATATAAGTTAAGATAAAATATATATGATTTTCATACATGTGTTCGTGATATTTTTCCTACCGTAACTTATGTAGAAGTTAGAGAGAACATATTTAAAATTGAAGTAGAGGTTAGGTGTTAAACCCGTTTGATGACATTACTACTAATCTTGTTGTGCTTAATAACATCAAATGAAATTTATCATATTGACTAAATACTTTGAATGGTAATAATTTGTGCCTCATATGTTGCAAGCTCAAATCTTACTAATGATGATTACATATAGAAATTATAAAAATTAAAATGATAAAATAACGTGGAAAATTGGGGAGTTAACTGAATCCTACGTGACAAAATGAAATATCATGGTCAAAATTTAGGTGTTAAACCTGTTTGATGACATGACTACTATTCTTGTCACGATTAATAATATCAAATGGAATGTAACCTATTGGCTAAATACGAATGATAACAATTTGTGGCACACGGGTTGCGGGTTCAAATCTTAATAATGAGGATTGCGCATGTTTATTTAATTTTAACTTAGTGGGATTTAGAAATTATAAAAAAGTTTAAATAATAAAATGACATGAAAAATTCTGAAATTAATTGAATCTTACATAGCAAATGTTGGTCGTGAGCAACCATAATATAAGTTAAGATACAATTGCATAAACTAAGTTTCTAATTCTGTGATATGATGTCATCAAACAAAAGGGATTTTGAATGATGAATGAAAATCTGAGAGTACTTTGGGTGGGTGCTTAACTCAATCTTGAAGGAGGGGGATTGATGCCCTTTAACAAACCACTTTACAATCTTAATTCAGTATATAAATACACATATTACAAACCTCAACGAAATATTAAAGATGATCATAACCTCCACCGTTAATTGTTGTACGAGTCTGCAAGTGGGTTTTTGAAAAATACACCCTCCATTGATTTAGATGAATGCATGGGGTATTGTTCTTTTGATTAAAGTTATAACTTGTGATTAAACTATGGGGTTTCATGTGAAGAAGCTTACTAACCCGGAAGCCAAGATCAGCGACGTCATGGAACTCTCAGGTGAGAATCTCAATATCAATCTTGACATTAATATAGTGCTGAGAGGAGGGGCTGAGCGGGAGAGGTTAAACTTGCTGTCCATTCTTAATTCTTATGACTTTATATCCAGAATTAACAGCCCTTGCAGAGTTGTTTGGCAGCCTAACCCGGAAACGGGCTTTACAGTTAAATCAATGTACAGAACTATCATTGAGGAAAAGTTTGCTGGGGGTGCCTAATTTCCCCTTCAAATCGGTCTGGAGAAAGGTGGTTCCGGAGAAGATATGTTTGTTCGTTTGGATTGCTACGCTTCAAAGAACTTTAACTCTTGATACTTTGAAGAAACGGGGTGTACAGCTGGCTAATAGATGTGAGCTATGCTGCAGTGAAGAGGAATCAATTGAGCACATTCTGACTAGATGTAACTTCACCAGCCAGGTGTGGAAAGAGTTCGAGAAGGGCTGCAGCTTTACTAATCCGGCAGTGGGCGATAATCTCGCTGCAACTATTGAGAAATGGCCTGCTTCTATTCCTAGCAGCCTTGAAGGATGGATTAAATACTGTGCTTTTCATGGCGTTTCTTGGTTCATTTGGCTCGAACGAAACCAGAGACTTTTTCACAATGTTTCATCCAGTCCAGATCGGATTGCCACAAGATCAATCAATAATATCTCAAGGTGGATTACAGCCAAAGGAAAAGCAGATCGCGTCTCAGTCACTGCCTGGCTTCAATTGTTCCGCCACCGGATTCTCTAAGATGGCATCTGTGCGCTCCTCGCGGAAGGCTGGGTATGCGTGTTTTCCCCGGCCGCTTGCTTTTCTTGATAGAGTGGCTTGCTTCTGGGCGATTGTGAAGTTTCCCCTGTGATTTTCGTTTTCTCTTGTCCTTCTTTCTTTCTTCCTTCCCTTTCTTCTGCGTCTGTTTCTTTTGTTGGCACTCCTGGTGCCTTGTTGTATCAGACCCCTTTCTTTTCAATGCAATTTTCACTTTCATCAAAAAAAATTAATGGAAAAAAGATGGCAGGAGAGCCAAGTTGGAGGTGTTTAGGGT